TAACTTATTTTATTCTTTTGAAGTATCCCTTTTTTCAAAATATTTTCTTCATGTTATTTTTTTCTTCTTTATCTCTCAACTCCTTGTTCAATATTTCAAAATAATAAGAATATCTCACCCTCTCAGCTCGCTCGAGCATATTTGTGTAGAACGTAGTAATGAGTTTAAGCTTGAGGGTGAGTTCACATAGTTTTTGTGTTGTATAATTTTAGTTGACCTCATATCCATCTTTCAAATTCTTTGTATTCAAATTTTTGTACTTTTATTGGTAGCAAAACTACCATTGAAATAGTTGCGTAAGTTTTGGGGATTTCCCAAAATAATTTCATTTTTCTGAGTGTTGTTCTCGTTACTGTCTGGATGACCCCATGGTGGAAGAATTCACTCCTGAAATTGAAGGAGCGGTCTATGTCATTTTCATTTTTTAATTTTGAGTTGTGTTCTAGGAGGTGATACCAAAATTTCACTATTTGTAAGTCCATTTTTTGTGTCGTTTCTGTTCTTTCATGATTTCCTTAATGTTTTATGTTTTAAATTTGAACTTATATTTATCTTTTATCTCTAGTTTTCAATTTTTTGTTATATCATATTTGTGTTAATTTCTAATTCAACATTTTAAGATAGGTTAAAGTTAATGGCATTGCTCCTATGTATGGGGTCTCAGAAAGTGTGGAAGACATAGTCCACCAAATCAAGAAATATGTGAATAAGAAATCATAACTGTTGTTTTGCCCTCATCAAAAAAGATATTTGTATGGGTGATTGAAGCGCCCAGTGAGGCCTTCAGTGTCAAAAAAGAAAAGGCCCCAAGTTTCGACCTCACTATTCCTTCGCACCTATGTATGGGGTCTTGGAAAGTGTGCAAGACTTAGGGTCTGTTTGGGGCATCTTATGTGTTTCAGATAAGCAGCTTATTCTGAAACCTGGTCTGCGGGTCAATCACGAGGGTCGACCCGCTGCTTGCGTTTAGTATAAAAAACTCAAACGCGGTAGGCAGCGTTTTAAAAATGTGCATGTCAAACGGTTAGGCGGCGTTTTCAAAAGCGTCGCCGCACTTATAAGCTGCCCCGAAGGGGCCCTTAGTCCGAGACATCAAGTAATATGTGTATACGAAATCATAACTGATGTTTTGCCCTCATCAAAATTGAAGCGCCTAGTGAGGCCTTCAGTGCCAAGAAATGCTTGTATCACCATTTTACAGGAATCTTTTGTGGTGCCTACAGGTACTTTTGCAGGGTGGCATTGGTGGCGGCATTTTTCTGTGCTTTGCAGAGATCTGTTGATTATGAAATAGTGAAGGGAGAAGTTTTCTATTTAGAGACGATAGCAATGCTGTGTGCTGGCTGGAACACGGGGGGAGCGAGGGAGGGAGGGTGCATGATGGCCTTGTGGTATAGAAGCAGAAGAGAAACATAAAGCTATAGTTCTAGACTAAATCCAATTCAAACCAATTTTTCTTCACATCAATATATCCATGATAGGGTTGGTGTAGCTCCAGTGGCGGACAAGCAGGGCCGTGAATGATTTGATTTCGAGCCGATCCAGTGTTGGCTTGAAATCGGATCGAAAGGCAATATTTTGGATCGAAATCGAAAATCGGATTAAAACCCATCGATTACGTCCCGACTCAAATTACAAATGAGCCCGCTTGAATGTATTTTTTTGGCTCATGAGCTCGATTGATTCGGACCGAAAATGGATTGATTTGGCTCAATCACATTCGATCCGACTCGAATAAGGACTGATCCAGCTCATTAATGAATCAACTCGACTCGAAAAGTCCTGAAAAAAGGATTGAATCGACTCAAACCGTTTATTCAACTCAAAAATTAATTAAATTGAAAAATAAATTTAGTATAAGTGATACAAAGTAAACTTAGAGCTATGAAAATACACTCAAAATTGAAATGGAACCAATTTCTTTTATTTAGAATCCAACGAGCTTACAATTTACAAAACTTCCAGAAAAAAATAAATTCAAAAATGTTAGAATATGAATAGGAAAATGAAAATAAAGGATGATAATATCTGGATTCAATTTGCATCATTTGTAGCAATTTCACCCACACTCTCAGTAAGGGTTGCTGCTACATCAATTTGAGGCTCAATTGTAGAACTATCAGATTTACTTTGAGATCGACTAATCATTGCTTCTATAAAAATTTACAACATTAAGCTAATAAATTGCCAACAAATATATCATAATAAAAAAGAGTCATGGAGCTTACTAAAAAAAATTGCTTGCATTCAACAGACTGAATATCAATATTTCAATAATACAACTAAAACATATGGTGCAACCTTCTAATGTATAAGTTGATGAAGCATTCAACTAAAATTGCTTGCATTCAACTAAAACATAAGCTCGTAAGGCAACTAATCATTTCAGTGATAAAGCTTTCTTTCATGCCTTCTCATATTCATATGTGACCATCAATTGATGCGCATGCCACAAATAAACTTTCACTTCAATATATGTATCTTTTAATATCAGTAAATATGTCTTCTCATTCTAGATGCAAGGATGCATTTCATTGAGCATTTAAAACTAATAAAGTAAATCACCTCATATAATTTGTAAGCAAATCTTGATATAGCAAAATAATCTCAATAAAACGTACCACTCCATTCAAACGTATTCACACATGTAACACCTAAACTTTAATTGTTTACATTGTAAACAGGCCATTCATTTTACTTGTGCATGAAAAGATGTATTTCAACTTATAAGGTAATGAAGAATTTGGGTGGTATAAATGTAAAAAATTGAAGTTCAAGTTTTAGAAATGTAAATTGGTGGTATGTAAATCCCCCTTAAATTTAAATTTGTTGAAGGCTGCTATGACACGGTACACTAATGCTTAAAGTTTGTTGTAAATTTACAAAAAGTAACTCATCATATAAGCCAGTGAAGTGATTTATCCAAATTCATCTAATATACCCTTAAAACAAAAGTTGATGTGGCTAAGAAATTTCCTTGAACAATATCACGATTGATACTTCATATAATTCACACTTACGAAATTTAGTGCATTCTTCGTAGCATAATAGCTCTTGTAGCATAATAGCTTGTTCGTTACTTTCTATGACAATAAATCAAAAATTAAATGATTAATCCTTGGGTAAGAACTGAGAACAACATATCTTAAGAGAGAACACAAAAAATATTGTATATTGTGCCTTTTTTTGTGAAAAAAATGTTTTTCGGAATGCCTGTTTTACAATATCACAATTGAAAAATCAGCTCTCTGCTCATGGTTTGTCTGCCCATTAATCGTTAGAAAGAATGTGTTGCTTCATTTGCTCCACATCTTAAGAACTAAGAGCTACACATCATAAGTGAGAACACAGAAAAAACTTCATATATGTCAAAGAGAAACCAAAAAAGGTTGATCTATGTTGAAGAGAGAGACGCGAGATTAGCCGAGAGCGAGAGAGAGAAAGAGAGAGCGAAAATAAATTTCTCCTTTGCCACAGAGTAGAGACGAGAGAGGAAGAGACCGAAATGTCAGGGCTTCGAGCAGTGCTGAAATGGGAAATTGGAATATATAATACGGGTAAGGGCTTTGGTTATTCTACTTCGAGCATTCGATTAAATTATAAATTGATTACTGATCTGATCTCGATCCGAGCAGAGTAAGGATCACAATCGGATCGAAATAAATTCGATTTTTTTCATTTGGCTCGTAGCTCAGCTCAAATATTTTGAGCTGATTTCGATCCGAGCTAAATTTCGATTCAATTTTCGAGCAATTTACGATCTTCGAGCCAATTTCACAGCCCTACTGACAATATAAGATACAATCATCTTAGATAATTTGGGCACATTAAACGTCTACTATGTGATGATCCTATTAGGAGAGTAGATGTTTTAGATTCAACTTATGTTAAGAAAGCTTGAGGTGGACCTAAAGACTTGGGCATATTGTATAAAGAAGGATCTTAATCTATTAGAATTAAATGAAAATATGACACTCAATAAGATGTAATGGAGAAAAAAGATTCATGTAGCCGAACTCAGTTAGTGGGATAATGATTGTTGAATACAAATACTCAAAATCTTAATCAACTTGCAAACTAGGTTAATTAAGTTTGACCAAGTAAATTCAATGTCGATGAAAAGAATATTTTTGTTGATAAAAAAAGAGGAAATTTATCATTTTAAATGTTAACGAATGTTTGCAATTATAAAGGGCTTATCTCTCATTGGGGTTTTTTAGTTAAGAAAAAAAGGCAATTCATTAAAAGAGAATAACTTTTTTTCTTAGTTCATTTGTTTGACTATAGTAGGGTCGTAAATGAGTCGAGCTTGAGCGAGCTTGTTTGACTCATGTTTGGCTCATTTGAAAATATTTTGTTTGAAATTATCTCGTGTTCGAAATTACTCGTAAACGATGTGTTCTTGTTCGGATCAATTTACATATTTTTGTTTATGTTCGGCTTGAAATTGACTCGTTAAAATTAGTTTAAAAATAGATGTAGGGTGTTAGATTCGAACATGCACCATTCTTATGCAATAATAACTATATACAATCACATGACCACACAAGCTATAGTGATTTAAACTTAGATATAAATATATATAATATATTATTATGTAAATAATATATATAATTTTTTTATTTCGAGTTAAAACGAGTCAAACATGATCAACAATGGTTGTTTGTGTTTTTCTCATTTATAATTCGAGCTTAAAAATTTTTTTCGTGTTTAGCTCGTTAAATGAACGAATGATTCGAACACGAGCTACTTAACGAGTCGAACACGAGCTATTCACAAGCAAGCTTTTTTAATAGCTGTAGACTAGAGAGATAGAAATCATATTAAAAATAATAATAATATCTGTTGCCTTCTATCTATAATTAGCATGTAACTGGAATCAACATGAGATTTAAGCTCAGAAAGCCCCCTAAACATAATATGTTCTTATGGTTTTCTAAATTATTTTTATAGACAAGCAACCAAATAATCATCTGAAAGCTTTGTATTTGCCACTGCAGGCCTTGACAATGTATGGGAAGTGAAGCCTTTGCTTGATGGAAAGGCAATAATGGGTGTTTTACAGCTTAAAGGCGGAGGTCCCCTTATCCGAGAATGGGTAATTGATAAGATTTGAACTGTGAGAAGGAAAAAAAAAATAAAAAAAAAAGATTTACATATATATCACTCAATTCTTATGTATTTACATATCTAACATCTAAACTTTTTTTCTTACATGCATGCCCACCTTCCCTCTGCATGAAAAGATGTATTCACTTTTTAGAAGTTAAAATGGTGGTGTTTGATGTGAAATGGAAGATTTGGTTGGTATAAATGTAAAATGTAAAAGTTAGGTTTTAGATATGTAAATACATAAGAATTGGGATGTTCTGTATATAAATGCCCCAAAAAAACAAGATGCTGCTTTTTATAATCCCCCTCTTTTATTCTTTCAGCAACAGAGGATGATTAAATGGCAGCTCGCTCATCCTGATGCCACTGCAGAGGAAAGCCTTGAATGGATGCAGCAGTCTCAAGCAAAAAGAGCAAAACTTGACTGTTGTCCTTGAATTCTTTCTGCATCTAAAGCTTCCTCGCAAGGTTGGGCACTCATGGCCGAGGTTTGGAATTTATTAATTCTTGCCGAGATCTTTTATATTGTTCTCTGCACTAGTTCGATTTGGCCAATCATATATATCTAATTTATTACTTTGTGGTAACGATATCTCAGCAAAAGATTAAATGACATAAATTAGTTAAAAGAGGAAGGTTTTATTTATATCATACTATCAAAATTTAGTGTAGTTAAAACTTGATAATTTTTTTAAGAAAGAAATCTATGTTGCCGTGCCAATCACCCTCAAAATGTCGATGCATTTGTATTAGCGAGAGAGAGAGAGAGAGAGAGAGAGAGAGAGAGAGAGAGAGAGAGAGAGAGAGAGAGAGAGAGAGAGAGAGAGAGAGAGAGAGAGAGAGAGAGAGAGAGAGAGAATGCTTAATAATTATAAATGAATTGTATGTTATATTTGAGATTCTTGGAAGATATACATACATACATTACCACAGTCAAATGCTTATGTATGTATCTAACCGCTAAACTTCAATTTTCTTCATATAAGCCACCCTATGTATGCATGAGGCATATTCCACTTTTTCTTTTTAGGGTTAAAATGGTGGAACTTTTGATATGATATGAAGGATTTGGATGGTATAAACGTAAAAAAGCTAATTTTAGGTGTTAGATATGTAAATATATAGGAATTGTGTGGAATGTATATAAATGCCACTCAAGTCTTTTGTGTTAATTCAATATGTCAACATAATGAGGTTTTTTCTTCTTTCTGAAGTTCCAAGAGACTAGCATTTTTTTTTTCTCTTTGTTTTAGGTTTTTAGGGTCCGTTTGAGAGCGGCTACAGTTGTTTGAAGAAGCAGCTATGAAGCTGAAATTGTTATTTAAAAACTTGTATCGACTATTACAGATTTTTTTTCTTTTTCAAAATGTTAGACCATTGCTTTATGGCAGCAACCGCACTTTGTTTGGTTAAGTTGTAAAACACAACTTTTGCACCATAATTTTTAGGAAAAACAAATAAAATGTGGTTTTGCCAAACACCATAAAATACGGTGCAGCACCACACCATTATCCCAAATACACTCTTAATCTACTGATAAAAGAGTTAAGTTTGTATGAATAAGCGACTCGTGGAAATCTACCTTTGTGTTGCATCTGTGACTCTTGGCCCCATAATAGAGAAGGAAATGTCAAAACATGGTTTAATTGATAAAAATTTTAGAGATTTACACACATACCAAGTAATTTCTTTGTATGTAAATGTCTAGCGCCTAAATTTCAATATCTATAGTTTTTTTTGGCCACTTAAACAATGTATGCAGTATCACTCTTTAAAAGTTTATACTAGTAATATATTGTGTTGTGAATGATTTGAGTGTTACAAATGTAAAAAACAAAGTTTGTTTTAAATATGTAAATACATGAGATCTGTGTGGCGATTTTTTAATGTCCTTTAGTTTAGGATGTTGACTGACTCGTTTTATTATTATTTCTATTGTTTATTTTTTTAGTATGGTGAATGTGAAGATATAAATTTGATGCATGCAAAACTTACATCGACATATTTTTTGAATATTTTTTCTTGGCTCGAGCGATCCAACTCTTGGCTGAGGAAGTGCCTGAAATTCAACCCCTTTACGGTCCGTTTGGGGCAGCTTATTTGGTGTGGTGATGTTCTGAAAACGCACCTGTCCTGAAAACGCACATGGACTGTTTGGGAAAACTGCGTTTGGGCAGTTTATGTGTTTTGAAAACGCTGAAAGCAGCGTTTACACACTGGCAGCTTTTTGGTAGCGGTCTGGCTTTTCCCAAAAAATAAAAATTTATAATAGTCACTGCACCTAGCTTATCAATAGATTATTTTTAATCAACTTATTAACAGATTATTCAATAAGCTCCAGCTGCCCCCAAACAGACCCTTAATCTTAAGTTTTGGGCACGTTGTAGCTCTTACTCGAAATCTTGTCTGTATTATTCTATATTACTAAACGTTAATATCCTCTATTTTTTAATGAATGGTGTATTTCTCCACAATTAAATCTCACACTTAATAATGTGATGCATTGTTTATGGCTGGAATTAATCTTAAACTTTAAATTTTATTTTGTTAAAATATGTTTGAATTATCGCACCTTTAAAAATGCATCGCCGCTTAGTTCCTCGAGGATACAACATTTGAAAACTAAGATGTCTTAATTTTGTTAGATCGATATGATGTTGGAGTTCTATATAAATTTATTTATTTATTTATACATATCATTTCATGGATCTCGCAACTTCTAATACAAGTGGTAATAAAATTTCAATAAACAGAGTTATTTGTTAAGCGTTACATTGACATCAGAAGTTGTGCAAAGAACATAATGGTTTATGTAAGATTGAATTAACTTGCTCTCGCCTAATGTGGAGAAGCTGGCCTAATGTAAGGCTAACCAAATCAGTCGGTATAAATAGAACTTCGGACTTCATTCGTGTGGGACCGTCATTGCAGCCCTGATTAGGCTTCCAAAGGCTATATAAAAGGGAATGATTAGGTTTTGTCTGAAATGACCCATTGATTCGGAATGTCATGCATGATCGAAAGAAATTTCGCACAAGGCTTTATTAAAAATATCTGATCATGATTTCTTATTTTTAAGTTTGTTAGTAAATCTAAATTATCTAAATTAAGGCCTCAAGGTTAAAATATTCGAGGGGATTGTACATGCATTTCGCACATTTTTATGTATTTACACATCTAACACCCAAAGTCTAATATTTGTAGCACGTGTCCTGGATTGACGGTTTTTTTTATGCAATGTTAAAGATTTGAGTGATATGCATATTAATATGAATGTTTTGATTTTAGATAAATGTTAAGTGTGGAGCCCCTCCAATATATATATATATATATATGTATATCGAGATTTTTACCTATTCACGCTCCCGCTTCCGCTCTCCCGCCTCCCTTTAGAGAATTGGCGCTAACTGCTCCCTCCTTTGTCAGACGTGAAGTGAAGCGATCTTTGCTTCTTATGTTTGTTGTGAATCAGACAGCCCTCTCCCTCGCTATTCAAAAAATTATTCCATACGGACGGCGTATGCAGAAATGCATGCGTCGTCCGATCTCCACCGTTGATCAAACTAAAGTTGTATTTCGATGGACCCAATTTTTTTTATGAAAAAAAAAAGAAAATTGATGGAAGCTCTGATCAACGGTTGAGATCGAACGACGCATACATTTCTACATACGTCGTCTGTATGGAATAATTTTTCACGCTATTCAGTTGTTTCTTCGTTGGTGAAAAAGTTTCTACAAGAGAAAAGAAGATAACTGCTCTCTCTTGGTTCCTTCAGTGTGTGTGTGGTTCGAACAAGAGGAATTGCAAGCTTTCGCTCTCTTCGTGTTCTGCTGTAGGGTGGCTCACGGATCAAAGAAAGAAGGGTTTCTTCTTGGTGAATTATGGCAGAAGAGAAATTGGGTTTTTTTCTCTTGTACGTTTTTCTTTTTCTTCAGCGTATCTCGATGTAGAGAGAGAAAAGGAAGAAGTGAAAAAAAGAGTTCGCTCTTGTCATCGTCGAGGTGATTGACGACGATGTAAATTCTCAAGTAATAAAATCCTCTGCAACTCCATGGACGTAGGCAATTTGTCGAACCACGTAAATCTATGTGTTCTATTGTGTACTGTTTTCTTATGTGAATTTTCTCATTCAACCTTTTCGTTTCATCGTTGATCGTTCTTCTATTTTATATATATACCACAACAACTGGTATCAGTCATAGGCTACAAATGAAGTGAAGGTTTCAGGGATCGAGAAATTTGATGGCACGGATTTTTGTTATTGGATAATGCAGATAGAGAGCCACCTCTATGGGAAAAAACTTCATCTTCCGTTATTGGGGAAAAGACTTAAAAGGATGGATGAGGCTGAATGGAATCTATTAGATCGACAGATTTTGGGGGTTATTCGATTGACTCTATCGAGGTTCGTTGCACACAACTTCATTAAGGAAAGGACGACTGCAGATCTTATGACAGCCATGTCAGGTATGTATGAAAAGTCATCGACGAATAACAAAGTATATCTGATGAAGAAGTTATTCAATTTGATGATGACGGAAGGTATGTCTATTGTACAACACCTGAATGATTTCAATATTATCATAAATCAATTATCGTCTGTGGAAATTGAATTGAATGATGAGATACGTGCACTGATATTGTTGGCTTCATTAACAAATAGTTGGGAAGCTGTGAGGATGGCTGTCAGTAATTCTGCAGGTAAATCTAAACTGAAATGTGAAAATATTCATGATTTGTTTTTGGCTGAGATGCGCAGGAAAGATTCTAGCGAGATCTCAGGTTCTAGTTCAGCATTAAATGTTAATTTTAGAGGAGAGCACATGACAGTAACTCAAACAGGAGAAGATCAAAATCAAAGAACAAAAGTAGGAGAAAGTCAAGGCTTGTTAAACAAGTAACTTGCTGAAATTATGACAAAACTGGTCACATAAAGATGAACTGCAAGAATCCTAAGAAGAAAGAGAATGACGGTGCAAATGTGGCAACTGAAGTATCACCAGATACAATACTACTGGCAGTTCATAGTTCTGTTGATGACTAGATAATAGATTCAGGGGTGTCTTTCCATACAATTTTTCATTGGGAATTGATTCGAAATTATGTTACAGGTGACTTTGGGAAAGTATATCTAGCGGATAGAGAAGCTCTGAACATGCTAAGATATTGACATTGCACTTCCAAATAAAAACCAGTGAACTCTACAAAAGGTTAGACACATTTTTGAACTGAAGAACCTCATTTCTATTGGGTATTTGATGAGTGTGGACATTCAATAGTGTTCTCAGATAGCACCTGGAAGGTTACTAAAGGAGCACTGGTACTGGCTTGGGGTAAGAAAACAGGTATGTTGAATATGACTACTGATTTAATTAACAGCGTTGGTACTACTGTTGCAGATAGCACAACAGAGTTATGGCATTGCATACTTGGCCACATGAGTCAGAGAGGTATGAAAGAATTTCATTCCAGAGGTAAGCTGCCAGAACTGAAATCAGTTGATCTCAGCATGTTTGAGAGTTGCATTATGGGGAAACAGAGGAATGTCAGTTTCTTGAAAAGTGGCAAAAAGCCAAAGGCAGGAAAGCTGGATCTTGTACACAGATGTGTGGAGACCTTCCTTAGTAGCATCTCGTAGAGGCTCTTGTTACT